CTCTCTCTCTCGCAAGAGAGAGCGGCGCGCGCGATTCTCTCTCTCTCTTTCTGCTTTCTCTCTCTCTCGTGCGCGCGCTCTCCTCTTTTGACAGCCACTCCAGGCAAATGCTTTCCAACTCTATTTACAAACCCTGTACAGCTGATGCATCATTGTGCGTGTGACTTATTTTGACTGGGAGCAATTGTTTACTACTGTGGCTACTCATAAGAAAAAGAAAGTATTGATTCATTCTTTTTGTATCTGAAGAGAGCCAGCATAATCAAAGCAAGTTTGAGTAAATTCTGTGAGCTTGCACTAAACCCTACTTCTGTAATTCTACAACAATGTCAGTTGTAGAGCAGTATTTTTCTTTCTTTACTGAATTTAAATATGTACTGTTTGCTCAATAGTATTACCACCACAAGTATGGCATGGATTTTCGATGCCTGAGGTATCCTGGCATAATTTCTGCAGACACCCAACCAGGTGGCGGCACAACAGGTATATCACCTTTCTTTTGTGATCTTTAAATCCATCCTGATTGCTATGTAATGCCAATACTTGCCAGTTGTACATCATGAAAAGACATTTTTTGAGCGTGTGACTTATGAATGCTCATACTTACAAATGTGCTGCCATGCTTGGTGGTCGTTTTAAAGACCTGATATACAAAAGTTTCCTGAACTTGCAAACAACTGCCCTCAGTGTTCCGACTTGCATACCATTCGAACAGATCCAGAACACAACCTGTTCACAACATGGGGCTGCCTGTGGTGGGGAACTGGGGTGTGGAAGAGGCCATTGTATATCAGCAGGCTTGGCTGATGCAGTTTTAGCTGCACTGCATTAAAATCTAGACTCCATTGCAGCAGCATATTTATAAGTATGCCCCTTGCTGATCTAAATTGTTAAAAGCTGATGCCTTGTTTTATCAAAATTCCTTTTTAAAATAACATCAGATCAGCAGTAGTCTTTCAAAAAAACCAAACCGTGTGGCAGTACTTGTTCATTTAGGGGACTGCATGTGATGTTTGGACATTTGGAAAGTCTGATGTGGCTTTTTTGTTTTTCAGTATCTAGAGTTATCAGTCATCAACTGTCCCTCTCACGTACCACTTCATCTTTCTTATCTGAATACAAACAGTGCATCATGAGCAATTCCTTCACTTCCTGCCTTGAATTGATAACTTTCATGTATCTCTTCTTGGCCCCTCCTATTTATCCTTCCTGCTGCTCTTTTTCAGGTCATTTATAGAGGTTAATTTATATGTACTTTGTGGAGACGCCGTCCAAATATTTCTATCACCTACAGTCCTGACTGAGCAATATTTTTCAGTTCAACATCAGGAAAACTAAAGCTCCTAATCAGCTGACACTACAATATTTTGTGTCACTGACTTCACTTAACTTCTACTCTGAGCTATATGCTTGAGCTGAAGCAAAACTGCTTGCTTTCTCAATCCTTTTCTACCTTTTTTAAGGTGAAAATCACACGTTCTGTTCAGTAGTAAAATTGATTACTTCATCTCCTTTTATATCCTTGATGACAAATCAATATTTCTTAGAATAGGATTGGTCTTATGTTGTCAAAAACAATCTGAATTAGATACCAAAAACCTAATAAATTTAAGTACCTGATTCAAATTGCTTTGGCTAAATTCAAAAGCCTGTTCTCTTGGTTAAAAACTGTTGCTTAGCCTGCTAACTGTACAGCTTTTCGATACACGTGTTTCACTTAGGGCACTCCTACGTACTTGCAAATTTTCAAGCTACTGCTCACAGACATCTATTTTAAATCTCTAAGCACAGACAAAGCACATGATGTCTTAAAGGGACCATGCAATGCTTCCCCATTCTACCTCCCCGCAAATCCCCCCCACCCAAGCATTTCGCAAACACCAAATTCTAACTTCCTGCCTCCCAATCTACAAGTACTCTACCCAACTTTGCAACAGTGATAGGTGAATAGGACTTAGTGTGAGTAAGGGCATAGACAGCTGAGTTTTTGAATGACCACATTTACACAGGGTACATGATAGGAGACTGGCCAAAAGTGCATTGGAATTCTCAAGGATAGAGGCAACAGATGGATTGTTCAAGGATTTTAGCAGCGGATCAATTGAGGCAGAGCCAGATTCTGACAAGGTTAAGAAGATGGAAGTAATCTTACCGTTTGTGTGGATATGTGGCTAGCAGCACATATTGTTCACAGCCTTGGTTTTACCAAGCTGATTGAATCTCCGATGAAAGCTAGAGGGAGGGATAGGGTCAGTAGCTAGTTTGAAGTGGAGACCAAAGATGACCTCTTCAATGTTTCCAATATTTCATTGTAAGAATTTTTTTTTTTTACTTATTCAGTAGTGGTTATTGGGCAAGTAGTCTGACACAATTTGGTGATAGTAGAGAAGTACTCATGAAATAGAACTGGTTGTGATTAGCAGATGTCTGAAAAGTAATGCAAGTTCATGAATGACATCATCATAGGAAGAAGACCAAGAATTGTTTATTTTCTTTTTTTTCTTTTTTTTTCTTGCAACACCCGATGTAACTACAAGAGTGAGATGAACCATTTCAGTTGATGCTGCAGCAATAATTGAATAAGTCTGGAATCAGACAGAATGTTTTTCCAACCAGCAGGATGACAATAGAGATTCTGGAAGCGGAACATGTGGCCAACCTTGTCAAAGTCTGCAGGTTGATCAAGGAGGACTGGAAAGGAAACATTATTATGGTCACAATTACATAAGATGTCACTTGTGACTTTTTCATGAGAACTATTTCAGCTCTGGGATGCGGGCAAAAATTAGATGGAAGGATTTGAAACATAAAAATCCAAGAATTATGGGATTTTAGAGATGACAACACTCTCGCAAATGGAGATAGAAAATGGAGTAGCAGTTTCTGTGGTTGCTTTTTCTTTAAACGAGAAGGTGGTGGTGGTGGTGGTGGTAGTAGTAGTAATAACTCATTTGCAAACAGAAAGGAAAGTACCCGAATTGTTATAAATACGCTAATGAGAAGACCAAGAAATAAGGTGATAAGCAGTTTAGTGGCAAGATAGTCAAAGGAGTCAGAAATGAGTATGATGAGCTGAGTATGAACTCTCCCAGATCACTTCTGTTCCATGTGCTTTTGTGCATTAAACTTGACATTTTATGTTCTTCTGAACTTTCTCTGTCTCCTTGTTGTTTTTCCCCCTATTGAATTCTGTTCTTATCTTTTGACTCCAGCCCTTTCTGCAAACATTGTGTTCCCTTTTTGCATTGTTATCTTCAGGTAAACAGATTTAGAAACTGTATAGACTTTTGTGGAGTGGCAGGAAAATACTGTAACAGTTAAGGCTCCATATATAAACTAAAATAATGTAGCCAAAGTTCACTGCTGGTCAGATTGTGTTGATTTTTATAGTATGGCATGGCAAAAAAAAATGTGAAACTTAAGTAAACAGGATCCTTTTTAATTAAATCCCAAAATAAACCAGCACGTACACACCATCTCCTGAGAATGCTCAATTACAGTCAAGTAATTTTAGACTGTATTTTCACTATCTACATCAGACATAGTTGATGATATCTACTCAGATAAACCAAACACATGAGAGTTTTAACAATAAACTTACTACCAACAAATTATACAATATTTCTGCTTTAAATTTTAGTTGCACATAATTGATTTAAAATAGAATTATAGGGTCCCTGCTAAATTCTGTGAAACCCCAAAACCAAAATCTGAGACTTGTCTGTTTAGTTTCTGTGAATAAACTGCTAAATGTAGGTGCAAATATTTTCAAATCTAATCTTAGAATCCCTACAGTGTGGAAACAGGCCCTTCGGCCCAACAAGTCGACATTGACCCTCGGAGCATCCCACTCGGACCCATCTCCCTATAACCTGCATCTACACATATACCTATAATCTACACATCCCTGAACATTATGGGCAATTTAGCATGGCCAATCCACCTAGCCTGCATATCTTTGGAGTGTGGGAGGAAACTGGAGCACCTGGAGCAAACCCACACAGACACTGGGAGTTTGCAGAAACTCCACACAGAAAGTTGCCCAAGGGTGGAGTTGCACCCGGGCCCCTGGTACTGTGAGGCAGCAGTGCTAACCACTGAGCCACCGTACTGCCCTTAATTTATCTGAAGTAAATTAACATTTACAGTTATAAATGACTTGCACTTAGCACATATAATTCAAAGAATCATCCAAAGCAAGTCACAGCCAAATTAGAGAATACTTCTTTTGAGGAAAGAGCACCTAACAAGAACTATAGAAAATCAAGTAAAATGCAGTGGTTATGATCATCTTTGTTCTGAAAGTGTTATTCTTCAGTAGATTGCCTGAGTAGCTGTTCCTTTGTGAAACTTCATAGATTGTCAAGCTGTTAAGTATTAAAGCCAATCATGGTCTTGACTGAAATATGCCTAAATTTCTTTTTTGAGCAGTGTTTTGTAGATTATTTGAGAAGTTCAGGAATCCTGGTAGAGACCATTTGGTATTGCTTTCCAGACTGAGATTATTTTGATATATATTGGAGGTTGTATCCTGATCTGTTATTCATAACTTAATAACAACATCCAGTTGTTTGACATACTTTTTTACCACTCCTTAAGCATAAACTAATGTCACTGTGGGCTTTACAGGTCAATGAACTCTGAATGAGAGGATGGGTTTGGAGGGCAAAGGCATGAACAAAAGCATCTTTATGAAGTTGAATGAAAGAAAAGGCCAGGTGAATTTACAGGAGGGTAAAGGAAAATTGGGGATGGAGACAGGAAAACCTTTTTTCAGTTTGACTTCTACCCACTCCATAATCCATATTTAGTACACATGAAGGTGAATGATTAGAGAGCACAATGGCAACAATGGATTAAAATTCACTTTAAACCTAATAAAAGCTGAGTAACATGTTTTAAAACAAAAATATTGCTTAACATGGTGAATTGAAGTAATAGCAAACATTATTCAGTTCCATGTTTACAAATTGATGAACCATGTCAAGCAGGCGTACTAGAATTTATTTGTGGGTCGCCACATTAGGTTGAGGGGTGACCTTGGACAGGTTTATAAAATCATGTGGGCCATAGATAAGGTGATTAGCAAAGACCTTTTCCCCGAGGGTAGGTGAGCTCAAAACTAGAGGGCACAGGTTTAAGGTGAGAAGAAAGATTTAGAAGGGATCTGAGGGGCAATTTTTTCACATAAGGTGGTGTGTTTCTGGAATGAACTGCCAGAGGAAGTGGTAGATGCAGGTACAGTTACAACATTTAAAAGACATTTGGACAGGTACATGAATAAGAGAGATTTAGAAGGATATGGGTCAAATGGGACTAGTTTAATTTGGGAAACCTTGTCGACATAAAAAAACAGGTTGGACAGAAGGTTCTGTTTCAGTGTTCTAGGACTCTCTCTTGTTTATATATTTGAGTGATGTGAGATTTTTTTTTTTTGCTTCAAGAAATTTCAATGTAGATTTTCTGATACTTCCATTTCCCAATATTGCTTTCTGTGAAAACCAACCAATCTGTATGCTCCATTAAAACAGTTCGAACATTGAGCTTTTTTTGGAAAATGCTTCATCTCTGCTAATTGTGAAGCTTTTAAAGCTCAAGCATTTCTTAAGATCATGTATCCATGTAACCAAAGTGACCAACTGCAGTGGTTACGCTACAAATCTTTTCATGGTTTAGCCAAAGCATAAAAACTTGAAGGCTATATTCGACCACTAGATGTTTGCTTTTTCTTTTAGATTATGCAGTCCAAATTTTCCATGATGCTGTAAAGACAGGGAAGTTCGAATGTTACTTGAAGGCTGATACAAAGCTTCCTATGATGTACATTGATGATTGCCTACGTGCAACACTGGAAATCCTGGAAGCACCAGCAGAACAGCTTACGATGAGAACGTATAATATCAGTGCTATGAGCTTCACTCCTGAAGAGCTGGTGGCTGAAGTTCGAAAGCACCTGACTGATCTTAAGATCACCTACAAAATCGATGAAATGCGCCAGGCAATTGGTAAGTGTTGTGTAACGATAATCCGTATTGTGTCCTGTAGGGTTTTGTAGATTCTTCTGGTACACCAGTCTGATTACAGTGCATAGTTTGGTTGATTTTGCATTCATCCCTGGAGGGTATATTTTGACCTTGTAATGAACTTTATTCCATTTAATTTATGAATGAGTTCTCAGAATTAATAAGTCAGGCAACTGCCAGTTTGGCTTTTTCAATCAATCCATTTGAAGAATTCTCATGGACACATAATCAACAGTGACTTCTGAAGAAATGAAGTGACATCCACAAAATTAAAATTCGGAGCCAGTGAAAATGCTTTGCAGTAATTATGATTTATCATTCAATTTAAAAGTTTACAAATGTACCAGCTCTTAACAAATTTTTAGCTATGTTTGTAGTTTATAGATGTAGCAACTGGATTTTAATGCTGAATCTATTAGTAAGGTATAATTTGGTGTGTAGTCTGACACATACTCTAGAACTTGTCCATTATATTTCCTAATATATTTTGACTGCAATGGCTAACTCTGTCATGATCACAATTGCAACAGATTTGACTTAGTTACACTAACTCTAATCCACTTGTATTGGACATGTTAAATTTAGGAATAATCGTCTGCAATGATGAAAAATCTTGAATGACTTTCCTTATCCCACACTTGACACTTGTGGATAGTAGAAATGCTAAAAGCTTTTCTCAAGTTTACCATTTGTCTGTCTCTGTTTTTAGCTGATAGTTGGCCAATGGAATTCGATGATCACAACGCTCGCCGAGACTGGGGCTGGAAGCATGAATATGATCTTTCTGAGCTGGTGTGCACGATGCTAAATTTTTGTACAACTGATAGTCAGCTGATGCAAACAAATTAAAGGAAAATGAAGATTTTTGAAGGACCAGAATCTACAAGGGGATCGAATGTACATAAGAATGTCATATTAGATGATGAAATTTAGGTCGCTTTGTGTAAATAGTCTTTTTTCTTTACTTGAACCAGGCTGACTGCGATGGCTAACTGTGCATCTTGTGCAACGAGAATATATAAACTTTAATGGTCAATGGTAATCTGAAGAAGTGTTTGGTCTAGATGAGCAGTGCTGTTACAAAAGGGCTGCCAACATACAGGGCAGAGTATTTCATTTGAACTATTTATATATGAACTTTCAGTTCTAACTTTTTTATTCTTGGGTAAAATGTATACTTTGTGCAAGGATGGGAGGGGAAGAGGAGTGAATGTTCACTTTCATCTTTAAAAATTATAATTAGAGCCTTAAGCTATACTGTGAAATAAGTTCTTCTGTACTTCCAACTTTAAAATGGAGATCACTAAGGATTATTTAGTAATGCAGTTGAATAAGTTGTGTAACAAGCTGTATTCCACTTGCAGTTTATTTAATCTGAAGAATTTTGTTTTGTAGACTATTTGCAAAATTGAGTGTCTTTTACCCGATTCTGCTTAACTATAGAATTAATGCAGTTTATCTCAAAACATCCATAATTTAATCAACAAAATGATCAAACACTCCATATGCTCAAAAATGATTTAATCATAGCATATATGCTTTTGGATATTGTGCAAACATTTTGTTTTGCAGTTTTGACTTCTTTTCACACTCTTTTCGTAATGGCACAGTGACCTGCGAGAGGTTTTGGCATAATTGTGCAAATTCTGTAATCAGGAAAACCAAACTGACTTCAATATGGTCAAAAGATGGAAAATCAATTCCAGTAATTTTACACAGAACCTTTTTTATGTGAAGAGTATGTGTATCTTGAAAAATCTTTAGTTGCCATTTTTATTGCAAAAAATGTCTCTACTTTTTTATATCAAGCAAAAATGTTGCATTAAATTTCAGATTTTTGAGTTTGAAGGTTTTATTGGACTTGATGTCTTGCAAATAACTTTTTTTTTCCTTTTATTTTTTTTAATATTCAGATTAAAAAGGGCGTTCAAAATCTGAACATATTTAGAAGTTCATTCTTTACCATTTGGCAAACCAAGCTTTATGCTGCTCAGTACCATCAAATTTTGAAAAAGTTAGAGGAAGTGAAAGTAGAAAGAGTTGTGATTCACTGAAAATACACTAACTACAGCTCATTTATTGAAGTAATGGAGAAAAGCATCAAATTCAAGGCTCAGTCGAAATATTAGGTTTACAGTGCAGTATCTTATGATCTTACACTCTCAGGAACAGGACCGTTTCTAGTTTCCAG